ACCATGTAGTAGCGTCGTGGCACCGCGAGGATAGAGCGGTGGTGCTACGGTGCCACCTTTTGGAGGAAATTATGACTGCACTGCCTTTAATATTTTTATTATAACTTTTTCTCTCGATATTCGATGGAAGCAATTGAAGTTGGGTTGTAAAGATAACTCAAAGGGTTAAAACTTTTCTTGAAATAACCTTTTTCCAATTTGAATGTTTACTCGGTTAAAAATGAGTTTCAATCTTGAGCTAAAAATTTGGAGCGTCCTGGTACGGTTGAACATTGATTTGTGAAAATATTTTGGTCATATTTCATTCCTTTTGACTTCTAATTATATCCAACTCACACCTAGCATTCTCGAATATTCATCATGAGGTTCGACACAACTTTTTAATATTTACACTTTAATCTCCAAACATTGGATTTTGCCCCCTCTTTTTGCCAATTTTCGCTTCTTTCAATTCCACTTCCATTCATCGAGTTTTACCTAACAAACAAAATATAATATAAATTAGGCTATAATCTCAAAAAAATTATTAAATATCTATATTTTTAGGTCCAAATAAGTATATAAAATACATTTATTAGAGAACATTAACAATGTGGGGAATTTAACAGATATGCAAGTTTTATAGAGACATCTGGTTATTGGCTAATAATGTAGTTAAAAATTTGTGACGCGCATTCTTATTCAAACCCTTTCAAAAACTATGGAATTTCCTTTTCAACCTCAACATTCCATGTAGATGAAATTCTTTACTTAACAAACATTATCCCATTTGACAGAGACAAGCCAAGGCGAACAATAAATTTTTTGTACTAGATTGATATATAAAAAAATTAATAAAGAAATTTTAGTTAAGAAAACCAATTGGGCTTGGGACAAGCTTGGAGTAAAGCATAGGCCTGTCCCATCTCTCCGTTCTTGCCAATTGAGACTTTGTGCAATAGAAAACGATAGGGAAATTAAGATTCTACACGTCTCATTTTGCTACCCAGAATCAAAGGTTATATGGAAGTCAGTTTATATATATATATATATATTTTTTATTTTATTTTATTTTATTTTTTTTTTTTGCGCCAGGTCATTTGGTAAGCAGCTGAGCAGCTTTGAGGATTTTGTTCAAGTCTGTGAAAGAGTTATTTATTATAATATTTTTGGATTTGCCAATAAGAGATGAATTCAAGGGATTCAATGTCCCAATATCTTACTTGACAAGGTATTACATTATTCATCCTATTGTTTTAAAATCTATGCAAAACTATCGTTTCACAATGCAATAAGCTAAAAACATTATTCTGCAACTAAATAAATTGAATTCTACAAATCTAAAATCTAATAAGCTGTAATACGGTAGGGACATAGTATTTGAGAATGTTAAAGGCCATTGTGCATCATCATATTGTTGATCGAAAAATCAATTGAAGCTTAATGTTGATGCAACTATCGAGGGATAGGATTTTTACTGTGTGGATGGTGCGTGTCTAACATAAGGATAAGGTACTTGCAGTTTACAATCTAGGAGATTTTTGTTTTGACAGAAAATTTTGCTACTTGGGAGGGAGAATATCGTGGTTAGATAAAAGGAACAAGTCCAATATAGATAAAAGGGACAAAGAACAATATCAAAACAAACAAATAGTAAAAACGATAATTTATGAAATCTAATGGAATGACAACCCCTATGGTTAAGGTCGATTAAACATAAAAGGGAAGAGTATCCTCGAGCACCAAGGCTAGATAGAAAATCAGCTACCATATTCGCTTCCCTATAAATATGATTAACCTATACATCCAAATAGTCTCTCGAAACCTTAACCTCCTCCCAATGACTACGAATGGACCAAAGAGAAAGTCCACAATTATTAAAACAATTAGCAACAATATACAAGTTCGTCTCTGCTATCACCCTTTCTACCTCTAATAAATAACAGTACTTCATGCCTAATTTTAAAGCCATAACTTCAGCCAAAGATAGAGAATTTTCTTGTACATAATAATTTTGAATTTATGCTATCATCTTTTTTCTTTTTTTTTTTCCCCACTATAACTTAACTTTATCGGATGAAATGTCAATAAAGTAGCCCATGATGTAGCACGATACAAAGTTTCGAGTCCTAGGGATACATCTTCGTTTGTGACTTCCCAAATTTTATATTAGTGATTGTACTTGCTGCTTTTGCTAAAGAATAGAATATTGTGACTTATTTTGACCTTATGAGCATGTCTCATTACAAAAAACAAATTAATTATTTATTTCAAAATATAAATGTTTTTAACATATTTGATAAGTTTTCAATAATAAAGAAAATAAAAATAAAATCACTATATTTTCCCTCATGATTGAAATGGATCTCCATAAAATAAAATGAAAATTACATCCCACCCTACTTTTAAAGATCAATATTCTAAAATCTTGGTGAAAGTTTTATTATTCAAAAATCAGATATTTCTTATTCAAGTGTTAAATATTATAATACAAATTTAATCTCAAACCCTAATTAATGTTCCCTCTCATTTTTCTCTCTTTATCCCTCCTTTCACATCCCGTTTCTCTTTCTATTCCTCATTTATCTCCTCTCATGAAGACGACATCGTCGTCAATCGCTGTGATGACGCCACCACCACTACTGTGGTGCTCTGTTTCTCTAATATTTTTTTCTTTTCTTCTTCATCGGAGCGGTGCATGCATGAGGGCCGAAGTAGCGACGCGCAAATCTGAGCATCAGTGTTTCGACATTAGCGATACTTTGTCTCTTCACCATCTTTTCTTTCTTCTCGAACGAAGCAATTGTGAGGTCGAAGCAATAGCAAGAAGTTTAGATCACCGTTGAACGTCATTGTTCTTAGCCGCGATGCTCAGTTCGCCGCTGCAACGACGGTGAACTAAGTGCCGCTGCAATGGCAATCTGACAGTGATCTTGCATTGTTTTGTTGTGGTTTGTGGTGATTAGTGGTCGCTTTGTAGTATTTTAAAGTTGGTTTTGTGGTGGTGCTGTCAATATTTTGTGGTGGTGATTTTGTGCGTTCTAGTGATGGTGGTCATTGCAGTGGTGTTGCTATCAGAGGTGATGATGGTGGTTATGGCGAAGATGGGAAGGTTGTGGTGCTATTAGAGGCAATGGTGAAAAGGTGGTCACAAGTGTTAATAGTAGTCACAAATTACTTGTTTGATTGTGACCATTAAATTAGTTAATATGTGACCAATAAAAATTATAAATTGTGACTAAGAAATAAAGTGTGACCTAGAAAATTGTTGATTTGTGATCGATAATTTGATAATTTGTGATTGTATAATAAGTTGTGATCCATAATATGTATGATTTGTAATCGATAAATAAATTGTGTATCACACATTTTATATTTGAGAATGATGAACAAAATTTGACCTATAAAATTTTTTGAATTGTGACCGTAAAATAATTTGTGACATATAAATATTATGATTTGTGATCGAAAAATAATATATAACTAACTAAATCATTAATTTATAACCAAATTGTATATATCTATGAAATTAATATATTTAATTAAGGGATAATTGCAGCAAAAGCCCCAAACATTTGAAATATTAGCTGACTTTTCACAAACCTTTCATTTGTTACAACTATCACCCATAACCTTTTCAAACGTTGCATGTGAAGCCCTTTTGAATGATTTCCCTAAAAAAATGATCATTAAAACAAACTTTGACCACTTTTTAATCAATTTTAAAATGGCAAAATGGTAACTTTCTAATTACTATATTAAACAATTGAAAAGCTTATATCAAAAACCAAAAAAAAAAAAAAAAAAAAATTTTTTTCCCCCCCCCACAAAAAAAATAGATCTTCTTCCACCCCCCATCCCACCCCCTCAATCTAGTTACTAATGGTTTCTGCCAGTCTCCATCGGCGAAGTCAACAATACATGTGGCAACTACACCTACTACTTTTAGTTCTAATGTTTCAGTACCGGCTCCAAATTCTATGCAGTTAAATTACTCAAAGCTAAGAAATTCATTGAAACAATGCCAATTGAACCTGATATATCTATCTAGGAAGCATTGTTCGGAGTTTGCTGGAAATATGAGGATCTTGAACTTGGTGGAGAAGTTGCTAAATTCTTTTCCAAATCGAGCCTACGAACCCCGAAAACCATGTACTGCTAAAAAACATGTACGCTCAAGCAGGTAGGTTAGACGAAGCTGACGAGATCAAGATATTGATGGGGCTTATGGTATCATAGTGAGAAACTTACCCTATTCAATTTTGTCTTGTCGTCACGCTGGTAAGCCATTCATCGGTTGTTTCCACCCAGGCTCCAGCTCCACTTCAAGCACCCATCGACTTTTCGGTTGTTTCCACCCAACCTTATTGGTAAGTAGTCCACTGTTTTATTATTACTGGTTTTAGATTGAGGGGTGGTGTAGGCTGGGGTGGTGGGTTAAGAGAAGAAGAAGATCTTTTTTTTTATTTATTTAAGTTTTTTAATTGTTTAATGTAGTAAATAGAAAATTCCAATTTTGCCCTTTTAAAGTTAATTAAACGGTGGTCAAAATTTGTTCTGATGGTCAACTAACGGTATCTTTGACGGAAACCATCCAAAAGGGCCTCCTCACATGCAACGTTTGGAAATGTTGGGGATAACGACTGCAACAAATGAAAAGTTTGGAAAAAGCCTGGTAAAGTTTCAAATGTTTGGGACTTCTATTGTAATTATCCTTTTAATTAATAAAATATATAATTCACTAATTAAATCATAAATGAATTTTAATAAATATCTGAATTTTAAAATTTTCAACTTTTATTCTTAATTTTGAAATTTGTGATATGGAGCTCCAGTGGGAAGGATTAATTCATTTTTAAGGGGCAAATATTTAGGGTTGATGCCAATCAATAATTGGAACAACTTTAACCACTTAATTGTGAATTTTTCATGAAATAAATCCGCACGTGTCCAAAACCCGTCCCACGTAGTCAAACTCAAAACACTTCCGTATAACAAAGCATAGCTCGGAATTCAAACCTCTATATTCTTAACCAAAGTTTATAAACACTTTTCACATCCGCGTATCCTTGCACACTCATTGGGATACTGCTTCAATTGCAAATCACACAAATCTATTCGCCACTCCCAAAAACTTCATGTCCATGTCGAATTAACTATTTAACTCTAGAAAGTTCGAATCTTTTCACAGGATTTTTTCAGGTTTTAAGAGCATAATTTCGAGCTGTCTTGAGAATACTCTTTTAGGGTTCGAGATTTTTGAGCTGCAAGAAATTGTGAATTTCGGCAGAGAGAGAGAGCTGGCAATGGACTACGAGCCGTATGATAGCAGCGGTGAGTATTTCTCCTGATAACAGATGGATTTTGTAAATTGAGGTTAGGGTTTCGTGTAATCATGATATGCATTGTTGCTGTTTGTGAATTTGGGGCGAGTCGGGTCACTATTGAAAGTAAAAAAATTTGTCCTTTTTAGTTTCAGTTCTTGAATTTCTTCTGTTTTAAGAATTGATTTACTGAATTGTTTACCTAGGTTTTTCAGGTTTTGCACTGTCAATTTTTTTTTCCCCTTTTATGTTTAAACTTTGGATTATTTTTTGTTGTTATAGAAGAGAGACATGGAGCGCTTAGAAAATCTATCCTCATGTATTAATAGGTATAAACTTTTTAGCTCACAGTTCATTTTACATTGGAGAATTCTGAACTCATACGAGGGTTTGAATTATTTTGTTGCCGTTACGCTACCATAAGAATTTGATAGTAGTCCAGGTTAAGATGGCACATTAGATGGGTTGTTATACTTTCTGAAGTATCTAAGAAATATATTGATTATTGTGAAATCAAATTTTGTGAACGGTTATTCTCTGTTATACTGAATGTGTGGGGGGAAAAGTAACAATGTTTACAGATGCAGTTTGCAAAAGAGAGAGAGCTCTGAGAACTTACAGACTCTCTCTGACAAAAAGACTCTCTTTCTCCGTTGAATGTACATGATTACATATCTCTAAGTTTCCATGAGGTAGGTGCTTAGAAATTTACTTTAGATTGTAATTTCTTCTACCACTTGTTTAAGAAGTAGAAATGTTGAAGAGTGCTAGGATTGTTCTTATCTGAAAATAGGAGTGGGATGGACTTGATTAACGATTTTAGTATTGGTAAGAAGTAAAATACTGATTATGAATTTTTTATCATGTTATCATGGTAACGTTAGAATGTGTGTGCCATGGTTTGAAGTTCATTTCCATTTCATGTTTTGGAATAAGGAAAACTAAAACATGTTAAGATTTTGGAAATTCTTATAAAAACGATTGAAAAGTTGCATTTCTGTATAAATAAATCCATTGAGTTAACAATACTGGTTCAATTTAGCTACTATAAAATGAGAATATAAGAATTAGTATTAATTATTTTGTGAGAAAGTGAGAAAATTTTATCTTAATGAAAATCTTATATTTTTTTGTGATTAATCTTTTGTCATGTTCTCTAAAATGGAACCATTTCAACATTTATAGAAATGTATTGAAATGTTGAACTGTTTATGTTATAATAGGTATGCATGAGTAATTGTTTATACCAAATTCCCGCTACCGGTCTTCGCCTTTCTGGGTCAGGATGCTTTAGCTTTTTACAGAAAAATGGAAACACGCGTGCGTTATGGCATCTGTCTTTTTGGATCTAAATTGATAGGTATAGTCATACAAATTGATAGCAGATAAATTGATAGGTATAGTCATACAAACTTGTTATGATCTTTATAAAGAAGTCATAAATTAATGCCGAATTAAATGCATGTCCATGTCGACATCTTCACAAATGGCATCTTTAATTATATAAACCTATGAACTTAGTTAAATAAGCTATCTTTTACTCTTCATTTACAAGCATGTTTGGGAGTGTTTACAAAATGTCAAGTTATAAAAAGATAGAAATGAGGGAGGGATAAGTAGGTAATATTTATGGGTTCATCAAAATGAGTGGATAAAAAATGACTTGAGTGTTTATAAATAGTTTTTGAACATGAGTGAAATATAGGGTACGTATATTTTCTCCATCACTTTGTAGCCATAGAATAATTTCTCATGCCTAATATCCTAAAATTTGCATTTATGGTCATGCTATTGGAAAGAGTGTTCAAGCTTAATTGATTTTTTTTTATGACCGTGGGTGTCCAGTTCAGCTTACACGCACCTCGACTAATCATATAGTGCCCTGAAGTTTACAATAGGGTACTCATCTCAGTGGCCTTGAGGAGATTCGAATTGGTGACCACTGGAAAGCAAACCCAAAACCTGTTCAAGCTTAATTGATTGAAAATGTGCTTGTCTACTCCTGCCCATTATAGTGCAATTTATTTCTCTTTCTCCTTCCTTATTCTATATAATGACAGAAACTTAGGATCAGGTGTCTCGATTCTATCGGCTACGATTACGATTACGATTAGCCTTTACATTAGCAATAAATGCTCGTAATCAATAATATGTCCTTTTTTTGGACACCTACTTTCTTATAAGATGTAAAGATGGAGACATGGACAATAAGACCCCAGATTCTTTGATTAACTTTGTTAATGATTAGTTTCTAGAAGTATTACTAGAATATTGCTGCATAATGAGCTGTATGTGTCAGATCACGTGCTATTCTCACTACAAGGAGATGTAAAAGAATAAGCCTCGTTCAAACATAGAAAGCTGTCTTTTGATGCATGAATTGGAGGACTAGTTGGCAAGAGATCCCCTAGGAATTTAATTAATCAGTCGCAACTCGGAACTTTAAATTCACACTACAAAAGAAAAATTTACTAGATATTTTAAGTTATCTAAAGCAGATCCATGAACCTGATCTTTCAAGGCTTTGTTGAAAATCATATTAAATGATATACATGTTGCCCAATCTTAAGTTTTTAGATATGCAGGTTCTAATTTACGTACAAGTTGTTCAACAGGCTTCATTAGTTAAACCCTGCTCTCTAATTGTGTAATTTTGGATGACATGTTAACTTTATTTTTCTGCACTCTGGAATGCTTTCCTTTTGATTTCATTTTAGGGTTTACTGGCTTATTTATTTATATAAAACAATATTCTTTCCTTTCCTTCCTTTAGCTTTGATACGGTTGTGTTTCAGGAACTGATGATGATCTTCCTCCACCACATCAAAATAGAATTCCAAGAGGTGGCCGCATTGCTGGCAATGGAAGGCCTGCTGTCATGGGTGCTGCTCCATATCCTAGAATGCCTGATGAAACTGATATGGAAGCCAAAATTCACCAGCTTGAGCAAGAAGCATACAGTTCAATATTAAGAGCCTTTAAAGCACAAGCTGATGCCATTACTTGGGTACTTTTTGTCACGTTGAACCCTTGAAACTAAGACTAGCATATTTGTTTGATCAGGTTTAAATGACTGTCCAATAAAATGTATTTTCTTCAGGAGAAGGAAAGTTTAATAACTGAACTAAGGAAAGAGTTACGACTGTCAAATGAAGAGCACAGGGAGCTTCTTGGTAGAGTTAATGCAGATGAAACGATCCGAAGAATAAGGTATCTTCTAATTTAGTAGAAATGATATTGTGCTATTTTGTTTCTTCTATTCATCAAAAATTGAGTAATGTTATCAGAGAGTGGAGACAGTCAGGTGGGCTTCAACCAGGCATGCATGTTACTGGTCAAGCTGTCAACGATCCGGTGCCCAGTCCTTCTGTATCAGCTTCTCGCAAGAAACGGAAAATAGCCCCCTCTTTGCCTTCTCAATCCTTTGGTGGGCCATCTCCTTTCCACCCACAGGCAATGGCCACGGCAAACCAGCCATCTTCATCGTCTGCAAAGCGTGGACCAGTGATGGGGACAAAGGGGAAAAAGCCTAAATCTGTAAGCATTATTTATTGTGAAGTTTGCCCCCTTTACAAATTTTGATTCTAATTTTCATTTATAATTTCGTTGATGAGGTCAGATTCCTACTGGTTCGTCCTCAATGAAAATGCAGTATCCCTCTTCTGGTCCAGCTGGAAGAGGTCAATTTGGTAACCGTATTTCTTCTGGTGGCCTTCCAAATGAACCTGGCGAAGGAGCTACGTTTAATCAATTTATCGGACGGAAAGTAAGGACCAGATGGCCTGATGACAATAATTTCTATGAAGCTGTCATAACTGACTACAATGCAGCTGAGGTAGGTCTGATTCGTGATGATTTATTGACTTCATGTCGGCCTTATTTAATACTTTGGCCTATCACTGCAATGTTTTCCAGGATCGACATGCTCTAGTTTATGATTATGGTACTCCAAACGAAACATGGGAATGGGTCAACCTTGCTGAGGTAGGTGCATGATTTTTGGTACATTCAAAAAATATTTTTGTTACACATGGGCAAGTGCTTTATTTCTTATATATGAGAGCATTCCAAATTCAGTTCTTGTACTATCTCCATCAAATAAAGATAGACTTTTACCGTTTTCACACAGATTAAGAAAATGTAATTAATATAATTGGAAATATTAATTTTTATTATATTTTTCCTAATATACCCCTGCATTAAATAATGGTTCAAATATGATTAGTCAATTTGTTGATAGCATTATTCATTAAATTGTCGCATATTAGAAAACTAAAAAAAATTTACTTTTAGTGAGGAAAGTAGTTTATAATTTGGGACAGACGAAAAAGGAAATCAAACATATCTTAATGGGACGAAAGGAGTATGATCTAAATGATGGCCAATGAGCTTGATTTAGATGTTGCTTCTATTCATGTAAGACATAGCTTTTGTTTAGGCTCTATTTTAATTAGGTTTTGGGAAAAATGTATTTTGGAATAGTAATTTTTTTGAAGAATGTATGTTTAAAAAGTAAGAAAAGGTTTTGAGCTTACGTGTCATGTTATTTTATTGAAGATTATGTTTGAAAATGAGTTTTGAAAAAAAATGTATTTTTGGTTTAATGGAGCGCAATCAAGGGCCTAGAGTCAAAAAGTTATTTACAATTTTCTGAATATATTGATGAGTTTTCAAATTGGCATTGAAAATCTCAATGATAAAAATAATTTTGATTGAATACCTGAGCTGTATTTGTATGTCAAAGGGTCATGTGTCATAGCGTAACACCCCAAATTTTCATAAATCTTGAAGTGTTACTAAAAATTTTCTTTTCTTGATATTGAAGGCAGAACTATAAAAGTAAATTTGTTTAAGAATAAATAACTGAAATATCCATTAACTTAAAACTAAACATGGAAATTGTATTTTAAAAAGAAAAAAAACATGTTCAACTAATTAATTTAATAACATGTATTTGAATAAATTTAAACTAACAAAGAATTTAAAGATATAAAAACTTAATGTGTATTTTTACTTTTCCTTGATCCACTTGGCATCCCACATGACCATCTTGCCATAAATCCAATCGACTCGAATTAACCTGTAAAATTATAGTCAGAGAATATTTAAAAATACCCAGTAAGATACGTATAATTTTCATAGACAATTATATAACAATAAATTAGACACTTCATATCACATTTCTCATGTAGTATATTGATGACCAAGCGACACACTTATCGGTAGTACTTTGAATTCTCGAATAAAGAGCCCAATAGAGTTCACATTCCGTTAGGTCGAAATCGAAGGTCCATTGGCAATTCATGCATATATTATTGAACATAAAAGTATAAAAAACCAAATCACTCGCACAAAAGTATCTTACTTGATAGATTTGAAAACTTGTAATGGATTATAAAATAATGAACGTGAAAACCCTTTTTCCTTGTGCTTCTTTTTCTCAATTGCCGTGTATGCATATAATAAATATGTGTGTAAAAGTTCTACCATCTTGTCCTGTATATATAGGTAATCATGACTTAGCCTATATAGAGTTGTGTGTAGAGTAAGGAACTATATATTGCTAGATATTGAATTAAAATTGATATCAAAGTAGACTTTAGATAGGAATAGGTTGTACTTTATAAAATAAAATAAAATAAATTGGATAAAATGAGTTTTCTATTAAAAGTGGGATAGGATTTGACTTTGTACATGTCCATCCTACTACCAAAACCAATTAATTCCATAGTACCTACCTAAATGTTGGGATTGTATCTATTTTCTAGTTATATAAGAATTTTGATTGGACCCATCCAACGCACAAGTAGCTATCTCCAATGTAGTAAAATGCCATTAGATAACAATTTCTTTAAACCTCAAGTTCTTGTGCTTAAAATATCCGAATCAGCTTTTTCTTGAGTCGAAAATTTCTAATTAATTACAACCTACGAAACAAGTCCAATATTGGTATACTAAATCTTGTTCCATCAATATCTAATTATTTGGCCTAACTAAAATGGGAGTTTAAAACATTTTTCATTTTAGTCCCCAACTTTTCAAAACATAACATATAAACAATTAAATTTTATTCTATAAAAATTTTTGTGCATTGCACATACTGCTACCTATATTTCAAATTTGATGTTGTATTGGCTTGAACTAGTTTTAGGTGGGAATGGCTTATCAAGATGTCAAATTAAGATGTAATGTAAGGTAAATGCAAGGTATAACTTTTGAAATTATCGTAAAGGACTATACATGGACACTTTAACTAGGCTGGCATGTCCATATCCAACGTGTGTTGAATACGGACACTACTCAGACACTCTACCAAAATCATTTTTTTCTTTATCGAAAATACTATATATTTTAAACTAAAAGTTATTATTAAGCCCATATTTGGTGGCCATCATTTTTAAAAAGAAAAATGTTTTGAATAGTAATTTTTAGGAGAATGTTTGGTTAAAAGGTAGGGAAATGTTTTAGGTTTACGTATATAATATTTTATTGTGTGAATTTGTAGTTGAAAATGAGTATGTAGAATAAATTACTTGAAAATAATGGTTGTCCAGCATGGGCTAAATAACAAATAGGTACTTATATTTAAAAAATTTCAACAATAAAAATTAAGAACAAGTATAAAGCTAAATCTATACTGTATAAAGAAAAAATTTTAATGAATTTAATCTATATGTCGGCTATGTGTCGGTGTCAGTACTTTTTTTTTTAAAATTGTGTCAGTTTGTCCGACACGTGTCCGTATCTATGCTTCATGGGTAAAGGATTCAGAAAAATTAATGCTCTTAGATTATGGGAGAAAGTGAAATTTAAAATTTTGTGATAATGTAAAAAATAGTTGGTCAAAGTTTATTTCAAAATAATTATGTGTACACTGATACACCAATGATTTTCTAACTATTTGACATAATCTTAGTTTCCATAGAATTTCCATGTTTAATTAGTATTTGACCACTGCATATCATCCACGACCCCCACATTAATTTTACTTCTGTTCCAGTGAGTTATTTTTGAGAAAGCCATCCAAAACTTGCACTTTTAAGTTTTTGTTTTTAAAACTCAGTACTCGTTTTACCCCACTTAGTGGCTCTGCAAGATATCTTACTCTTTCGGATCGTCTACTTTTATTTTTTATTCTTGCGTGTCTTACAACTATGTAATCTTTGGTGAAAGTTTGATTGGTCATTTACAAATTATAATGTGGGTGAAAAACGTTCGTGTATTAGTCTGATCTTGTACTATGTCTTATCTGCAGATTTCTCCTGACGATATACAGTGGGAAGGTGAAGACCCTGGAATTTGCCGTCGTGGAGGTCATGGTGGATCGGGCCATGGGATGAGTCGACCTACTGGGCGAGGTAATGCTCCTGGTGCAGGAAGAGGTAGGGGCTTGACAAAATTCAGGAAGGATTTTCCACCATCGCAGAATGGCATTGGAAAGAAGGGATCTGACATCATTCAGTTGCTTCAGACTGATACTCTAATTAAGGAGGTAGGTAAAAGTTGCTTGAGATGTATATATTATAGTTATACTCAGATGTGCTACTTAATGTGGGTGTTTTCTGACTGTGGACTTTGGCAGGTGGAGAGGGTATTTGGGGCCAGCCATCCGGACCCGGCTGAGATGGAAAAGGCAAAGAAAGTACTGAAGGTTCGAAATACACTTCAATTTTTTAGTCTTTTCACGTTTACTTCACTTACTAGTAGGTTTACTATTATTCTTCCTTTTGATCAAAACAGGAGCATGAACAAGCGCTTACCGAGACCCTTGCAAGGCTTGCAGATATATCTGATGGTGAAAGTGGTATGACTTTGTGGTACATTTATGATGATCCTATGATTTTTTAAATTGGTTATCTTCAGTTTATGGATGTAGCTTCAAATTGTCAATGCCTGCTTTGATGACTGACCGGAAATTACTTGCACTATTATCTGTTGATTGTGGTAAAAATTATACTTTGTTCTTTGATGCTTACATGTTTTTGTCCTGCCATCTGTAATGCTAGCTTAAAATTGGATTTATACTTTTTTAATGACATGCACTTATGAAAGGGAAGAATCTTGACCCTTGGGAACAAAGGGAAAGGGAGTAGAAACTATAGTATCTGTACCAAGAGCCCAGAAGATAACCTGTCATCCCCCTCGACCAAAACCCAAAAAATCAAAGCTAGCACAATCCTTGTGCACAATTAATTACCCTGGCAGACAGCAAAGCTCAATCTCCTATATGGTACAATATGAAAAACCTAGTTCGGATGTTTAACCAGTAGCCGTCTTTTTGTAGTTAGTTTGACATAGCTCCTGTTTGAGCCCATTTCTCTAATAATCTATTTTTCTCCAAATTCTTTTTCAACCACGTATTCTCCCAATAAAATAACTTTACATGCAAATCCTAAACTTTTATCTAATTTTTAACCACAAACACATATTCTCCAGAAAATTCACCATTACAAAAACTCATATTTCCCATAAATGGAGCTCAAACAAAACCATGATGTCCAGGGAATAAATGGCAAAACTTTTTAAAACCATAGGAAGGCCATTTATTTTACAAGAAATAGAAAAGTTTTTTAAGATTATGGGAAAACCTTGTTACGTAATATGATTTCTAATGGTGTTATCTCTTAAGTGGAATGTGTATGTTACTGGTGGTAAACTGCTTACATATCAAATACTAATAGTGTATGTAAAAGTATCCCGTATTGAAACCCAATTGAGGCAAGCAAGCTGTTTTCATTATTTCTATTATTGTCGTCATCGTTGTCAATACTACTGCAGTTATCACCACAAGCAAGTCACAAAACATTATTCTGATGGAGCATTGTCCATCTTTGTATGCTAATCATGAACAGGAACCATATTAACGATGCGGTTCTGTTAATCCCATAATTACTATTCTGAATTTTTGTTATTTGGCTTTCAACTTTACTTTGACAGTAAATTGCTCTTGTTAGTGTAATTGATGGACCAAGTCGTATAAAATTTCTTGACGACATTGTTTTTGGTGATTCCTGTTCTCCTTTTCAACAGATGAAGAGGAACGTTACTTGAATGAGCAACCAATGGGCCGAGAATGATAGAATTGAACAGTGATGGTAATTCTATCCAGCAAAATGGATAGCAAAGGAGACTTAGATAGTGGCCATTTAGGGCAGGTGGCATGGTTTTGTATCTAATGATTGCCAGTATGGTAATAGCCAGATTTGATCCTGGGGTGGGTCTGTTGTATAATGCCATTTTTCAGCAATATTAGCTAGTGTTTAGTTATTTAACTTATGCCACCTCATAGCTGAGATGGTGTTTTTGTCGTTCATTAACAGGCAGTGCGTCTCTAGAATTGTTACAGTTGCCGTGAACTGATCATGTAAAAGTTCGTCTTTTTTCTTTCTTTTTTTCCCTTTTAGATCGCTGGTAATTTATTTACATTTTACCGTGTTCATCATGCTCGGCTTGTTAATAATTGAAATCTATCAGGAAAGTTTAGGCATACAATGGTGTCCTAATAGGCCATATTCATTTAAACTAGTGATCCTATCACATCATTGTTACTCTACTAGAACAGTACATATTGCAATTGCAGTTTAATACTTTCAGCTTTCATGTAAATATTGTAATACTGTGCATTTATTTTTTCATGATCTTTTACAGTTTTGCTGGTACTTTTCCCCCTCCTTTTTTGATTTACCCTCTGATTTTTTATTTATTTATTTATTTATTTTGGCCTATTTCTTTTGTTTATGTTCTTGCAAATTACCTTTAGATCTCTCTCTCACACAAACACAACGTTCCACGCACAATTACATTGCACATTTAAATTATATGGTTTAGATATTAAGCGCCTGTGTAGGGGAAATTTTCATCCGAATTTTAATCAATTATTGTATTGGTGTTGTCATCATTTTGACCTCCTTTTCAATAAAAGCAGGACCCACTTGCTCTTGACAACAACGTAAAAATTGATTTTAATATTGTAAAAAGTGGAGTTAGAGTGGGACATACTTTCTTTGCTAAAGAGTTCGGTTCACAGGGGCTACACAGGCCTCTTCGCTATAGGGGGGCAGGTCCCACAAGAAGTAAAAAAAGGACTGTGCTACAGAGCTAAAGTTTAAATCTCGGGCTCCAATCTAGGGTCAAGGTGGAAAATCTAGGGTCGAGGTGTTTCCACCTCGGCCATTGATCTTCTGCACTTGGGGGGTTCGCCATCGAAATCAAGGGCAGAGGCTCTGCTACATCTGCTCCCTGGAACGGAACTTGGGATATAATCTCAGGTTTTTCAGCATTTCCCTTTTTCAAAAAGGTGGGGCCCGCACCCGCTTAATCTCTCCCACTTCATCTCTCATCTGGCAAGGACCTGTGAACTAGGTCCCTACAACTCTATCTTTTTCCCTTTGCTAGGATTCAATGACATATTTCTTTTTATTAGTAAAGTGTTATCATATTCTCTCAATGTGTTTCTTAGGCTCCATCAAATGGCTTAGCACAGTGATTGTTGAAGTTTGGATGCTTCGTTTCGTGACCGATTTCTTATTTTTCAAAAGTGGTTGTTCTTGAATGTTCTAAAGACAATCTCAACATTGTGGGTGATTTCCTAGTCATTAGTATGACTAGTTATAAGGAAATGGATCGTGTTACATGGTATATAAAGGTTGACACATTGGTTTACATCCATGTGAGTTGGTAGATTTTAGTATATTGATCTTGACAATATCTTTTTTAATCAACTGCTAGATTTTTGACACGTGTGGGTGTCAATCAAGGTATATAACTTTGTGTATACAAATATTTTAATCCTAAGAAAATATAGAATAGATTGAATTTTAGCTCGTTTACTTTTAACATTGATGATGTTCGAGGTTAATCTAGTTCTATTTATTGAGAACTCCAAAGTGGATTGTAATTATGAATTATTTTTCGATTGGTCTCTCATCACTTCATATTATTTGGATCTAAAGAACTAGTCAGGATATGATAAATCAATCATATTTTTGTAGCAATTGAATTTTTTATTTATTTATTTTGCATAAACTTCAATTAGATTAACAAATTAGAAATGTTAATCTTTCCAAGCTAGAGGACAAGAAACTTTCACGTCCAACTGTGTCAAATTTCAATTGTCCCCCGTCTACTTTCAAGGTTGAGCTTTCTCAACTATTACTAGTTTGCAATTTTTTATTTTTATTTTTTGACAATCTTTAAATTCTCCTAGAATGCGGTCAAATTGAGGTGGGAAAACTTCCTTTCTAATGTATAGTACAAGGTATAATTGGTGTGAATATAGGTCATACAGTCAAGACTCAAACTTGTCCAATTAAAAAATTTCGATCGAAAACAAGTGAACCTAGCCGATGCTAGTTCATCGGTCGGTCTGTCATAATGAACATGATCATTTTGGACTTGATTGTATAGTCCGATGATCCAAGAGGACAACTTTGCTAGCTCTATTTAAATTAAAAAAAAATGTAAAATACAAATTAAAGAATCGTTGTGACTATGGACACTCATTTGTCTTTTATGTTTGTCACACAGTGTCTCACACCAACTTGGAACATACATAAACTGTAATGTATACACATCAATAAGATATTCATTTTCTTATCAAGATTTAAATTTTCAATTGTAATAAATTTTTGAAAAACGAAAAATAGAAAACACTGAGGGTTGGACAATTGTAATATTGACGGTCTAGGGGTCGGTCTGATCATTAAATTCATAAAATAATTCAAATCAGGCCCAGACCATATTTTTATAAAGATTTTTCATGTTGACATTGAGCTTGAATTGGGTCTATATGCAGACATAATTTATCTAGTTCGATCCACTCATGTTGACATCTCTAGTTACGACAAGCGTGTGCTTCATATAACTAGAACTAGATAAAGAAACATTGTCATCGGTTCATAAATCTTCGTATATACTCCTTCCCATCAAGAAATAGTTGCTAAGATTTCAATTTGAAAAATATGTGTCAATTTTGTTTGGAAAATTAAACAAATCCTTATTTTAACGAAAACCAGGTCTGAAACTTATATTTTCATAAATCAAATATTTATTGATAGTAATTAGTAATATATTAATAAGTTTATGTTAATACAAACTAAAAAAGGATAATTACCATTTGGAATATACTACTTGTACATAATGCAATGTCTATAGTGATGTTCTCCCCCTCACATGGAGGGGAACTTACGTCGGATAAATTATAGAGAACAACGACGAAATTGGAGAAAACGATGAAAATGGATCAATTGTAAGACATCCAAAGTTTGGAAACNTTATTATTATTATTATTATTATTATTATTATTATTATTATTATTATTATTATTATTATTATTATTATTATTATTATTATTGTCCTTTAAATACAAAAAAAGGACCAAAATGTGGAAACCTCCATTCGATTTAAATTTCATCATATTCTACATATTTTGAAGTGAATAACAAGTGTATACATCAATTCAATCCAAATCATACAATAATTTTCAAGATTCATAGCTCGATTTCAAGATTTGAGCCAAAAACATAAATTTCTCCTACTTCTTTTCATCTTTTTTATTTTCGGTTGATTTTTTCAATTATTCTTGTTTAATTTAATTATAAGAATGTTAGGCTAAATTCTTCTTGTATTGGATGGATGATGAATCTTATTAGTTGTTCATTTCAATTCAAGATTTGTTTATTAGTGATTCTCTTGAGATTTTTTATTACTCATGCATTCATATTGTGTTGTTTAAATAATTTGCCACCATTAGATAACTTATTACTTATTCATAGTGCTGGAAGACTCATCTTAGGTAGAACACTGCATATTTAACATACAGACAATAAGTATTAAGAATAATATTTATAACATATGCAATCGTGTATGATAAAATCTTATGAATTAATGTCTATTTTCATATGAATTTCAACTAGAAATATGATCAAGTCATGTCAAACATATGTTTAATATATCTTAGAAAAGAATATTAAATAAAATTGGATTATTGATTGTCATTAACACTAACAAAAATAATATCTTATATGGGTCGAAAATTGAAAATAACATTAATAAGGGGCTTCAGAAATTCAATACATTCATCTCATATTTAATAAAACCACTTTTATTTCGTTCAAAGTTAAACTTGGTATAAAAATTGAAACAACCTCTTTTGTCTTACTCTTTATCGAATTTGATTATAACTAGTAAATCATAATTAATCATTAATTTTTGTGGGACGATAACTCAACTCGTTTAATCTATTACTTGTCAACGTTCTCGTATACTTGTGGATTTCGAACGAGCAATATACATGCCTATTTGCTAAAAAATGTCGGTTCAATTTACATTCCAAATTGTTTGTATTTAATTTTTTTGAATTGAATGACTTATTTGCTCATATGGTATTATGTATAGATCATAAAATGCAATTATGAATAAATGCAAGAAACCTTACATGAAAAATTAATTAAGAAAAATTGTAATAGAGTTCCAAACCTTTTATTTTATTGCAAAATATACCTTAATCTTTCATTTTTACGATCGCAGTTCCAAACCTTTCACTTTGATTGCAACTAAAGTCTAAATGATAAATTTCGTCCAAAATTCCATTAGTCTAATGCTTAAATTGGAACTTTGTCTCAAATTGACAAATTCAATAAGGGTTAAAATAGTGAATTTACATATTCTATAATACAAACTTTAAAATAGTTAATTCAAAAGGGTAAATAGCACAAAACTTCCATATATTTCAATGTCATCGTAAAAAAAGTCTCTATCTTTCATTTTTAGACATTTTTACCCCTATTTTCACCTTTTATTATGCAGAAGGTCATTTTCATCTATTTTTGAAGATTTTACCCTCTCTATTCAAATAAAACAAAAATAAATGAAATGAAAAAAAAAA